ATTGTAAGTGAAATGCAAAACAAAACCACGACAGGGGGCCAGTAGATGGCATGGTGGTTAGGGAGCTAGACTTCCACATGATCAATCATGGTTCCAGTCCTGAACCTGGCGGCTAGCTTTCTCACTTTCTCTCTCTCTCTCCCTCTCTAGTGAGCACACATGCTCTATAGCAAATAAAAAAAATAATAAAGTAAATAATTCTTTTAAAAAAATAACACAATGAGATATGGCTTAACCATGATTAGAATGCCTATGATCAAAAAAAAAAAAAAAAAAAAAAAAGAAAAAGAAAAGAAAAAAAATACAAAGACAGGGCCCAGCAGATGGCATAATAGCTATGTCGCTGAACTCCCAGGTAGTCAACTGCAGCTTGAGTCCCGGACCCAGTGGCTTAAACTCATGCTGGGCACACGTGCACGTGTGCCCAAGATCCCAAAAGGAGAATGGAGAAGGGATTGCAGCACTGCCATCCCCCCCCGGAGGGTGATTTCTCGATTTCTGTCTCTCTGTCTGTCTCTGTCTTTCTGGCGAGAGCACGCGCTCTATAGCAAAAACCTCTACAAAACAAAACAAAACAAACGGAGGACCAGCAGTTGGTGTAATGGTTATGTCGCTGGGCTCCCATGTAGCGCACTGCGGTTCGAGTCCCAGACCCAGTGGCTTAAACTTGTGCCAGGCGTGTGTGTGTGCATGCTCAAGATTCCGAGAGGAGAATGGAGGAGAAAGGATTGTGGTGCGGCCATGTCCCCTGGGGGGTGATTTCTTGCTTTCTGTCTCTCTGTCTCCCTCAGTCTTTCTGGCGAGCACAGGAGCCCTATAGCAAAAACCTCTCAATCCCCAAAAACAAACAAACAAACAAAAAACAAAAACAAAGACAAGTGCTGGTGAGGCTGTGATGAAAAGGGAACTCTCCTGTACTGCTGGTGGGAATGTAAATTAGTATAGCCACTGTGGAAAACAGTATGGCACTTTCTCAAAAAACTGCGAATAGAACTACCATATGACCCAGTAATCCCACTCCTTGGCTTTAACCCAAAGGACAGGAAAACAGTCAGAAAGACACTTGCACATTCATGTATACTGCAGCATTATTCACAACTGCTAAGTGTGCAATAAGTCATGACTGGATTGAAAAAATGTATCACTTATGTACTATGGAATACCACTCAGCCATAAAGACAGCAAGGTTGTCATTTGACTCAAAGTGGATGAATACAAATTTAATGCTAAGTGAAATAAGTAAGTCAGACAATTAAAATCATTGTATATCCCCACTCAGTATATACTGAACATCTGCACTATATGGCAGAGCTTGAAAGATTCAAAGATGTAATTGTAGGGAGTATAAGTGTAGACTCCAGAGTGTACAGCAGAAGGAATGAGTGGTGGGGGATGAGACAGAAGGGCTCAGGGAAAAAGCATTTTGTTGGAAATGAAGTATACAGTATCAATATTCTTGATTTGATTATCGTACACCAAATACATGTTTTGAAAAATCATACTGTATGCTATAAAGATATACAACAATTAAATATAAATAAGTTATAAATCAAAGATGTGTTGATAGTGAAGTTAAAATAATTATGATAATAAAAGATAACACCAACTGTGCAGGTTAACTTGCCAGGTTCTGATTTAATTGCTTTACATGTCTTAATTTACTGAATTAATATATACAATATAACCTTAAGAGCTAGATATTACCTTCTTCTTTTTCTTTTTTTTAAGAAGTTTTTGTCATAGGGCACACGCACTTGCCAGAAAGACAGTGAGAGAGGAAGTGAGAAATTACCCACCAAGGGGAATGGTCATGCTGCAATCCCTTCTCTTCCTGGGATCTTGGGCATGCATGCACACATGCCTAGCATGATTTTCAAGCCACAGGGTCTGTGACTTGAACCATAGTTGACCATGTGGGAGTCCAGTGACGTAACTACTATGTCATCTGCTAGCCCGTCTTGATTTAAAAAAAAGTTTCACCACGAGGTGAGTGTGCTCACAAGAGCGAGAGAGAGCACACACGCGCAAGAGAGCACGCTACGTCCCTCCTCCCCACCCCATGGGGAATGATTATGCTGCAATCCTTTCTCCTCCCTTTCTTTCTCCTTTCAGGATTTTTGGCATGCATACACACACATGCCTAGCAATGTTTCTCAAGTCGCCATGTCTATGAGTCAACCTGTGCAGCTGATTGACCATGTGGGATTCAGCCACCTTAACCACTCTGCTATGGGCTGGCCTGGTATTATCTTCATTTTTACAGGTTATATAAGTTACCCCAGAAAGCCAGAATCCTGGTCCAAACAGTCTTGCTCCAGGATTCAAACTGAGGTCTGTTAGGTTGGATCTGAGTCCCTTAACTGCTAGGCTTGGGGCCAATCCAAGCCTGTTACCTTGACTTAGAACAATGTTATCTTCAGATCCTGTTTCATACAATGCCAAGAAGGAATGGTTGTGAAAATCAAATACAAATTTAAAAATATGAGCAAAAACAGGATTTAAAATTCAAAGTACAGGTAATCTAGGAAAATATTTCTTGTAACTGTATAATATGATTTTTAAATTGGTAGGACAGGAACTGTCTCCCTTTATCCCTTACAACTCATGTAATGTATCAGAAATAGATAATGATTATCCACATCTCTGTAAAAAAAATTTTGAGAGATTTTTGCTATAGACAGTGTGTACGTGCCAGAGAAAGACAGAGAGACAGAAAACGAGAAATCACTCCCAACCCTGGGAGATGGCCATGCCACAATCCCTTCTCCTTTATTCTCTCCTTGGGATTTTGGGCACAGACATGTGCACCTGGCTTGAGTTTCAATCCTCTGGGTCTGTGACTCAAACCACAGTCAGCCACATAGGAGTCCAGCACCTTAACTGCTACATCACCGGCTGGCTTCTGTAAAAAAAAAATTTTGTAAACCAAAGAGCACATGTACTCGTCAGAGAGAGAGAACAAGGAACTCCCTTAACAGGGTGTCGTCATATCACAATCCTTTGTCCTCCATTCCTTCATCCTGTTAGAATTTTTGGCACACACACATTGTAAGTCCAGTGACTCATTTTCAAGCTGCTGGGGCCGAGACCGGAACTGTGGTCAGCCACTTGGGCTCTAGCTCCCAATGTATATTAATCACTGCACTGTGCAACTCTCCAAATTCTAAGGTCCCCTCCAAAGTTGTATTCATATAGACTTCCATTCACATTTCTTCCACTTGAAAATAACTAACCAGTTATTCACATGAACTGCTAAAGGGAAGTCAGTTACAAAAATCTACATAGTTAGTCCTATGTATTCATGGACCACCCATGGACCAAAATATGCTGTTATGCACCTAATGGATGCCTTTGTACTGAACATGTATAGACTTTTTTTGCCTGTCATTATTCCCAAAATAATACAGTATAACAACTACTTACAGAGCACTTACATTGTATTAGGTATTGTAGGTAATCTAGAGATGATTTAAAGTGTATGAGAGAATGCATGTAGGTTATATGCAAATATATCATCTTATGTAAGGAACTTGAACATCTGTGGATTTTGGTATCCAGAGGGCAGTGGAACCACTGCTCCTTGGATAATGAGGGACAAAATGTATTAGTATAATTCCTTTTATATAAAGTTAGAAAACATGCAAAGCAAGACAAAATAATGATGATAGTGGTGACAGTGAGTGTGGTCAGAAGGGCACAAGCCCTGTGGGGTGCTGGTCATATTCTATATATTGACCTAGATCACGGTTACCTAGAATTGTACACTTGGCACTTAAGCATGCTATGATAACTCTAAACTGAGATATGTATTTTTTAACGCCTTAAAGAAAACCTGCTTAAAGGCCTTAAGGATGTCACTCAACACAGCAATGTTAAGAGGACGAAGTCTCTAAGAGAAGAAACAAATATTTAATGCCCTTTTCCAGCTTTTCTAGTCCTAGGCGCCCCACTTCCAACCTACCCCTACTTCAACCATCTCCCGTTGACCGTCTTGCATTTGGTCGGCAGATTAAAATCTAGACAACAGAGCAGTACAGTGTACAAGGATGTTTGAGTTTCAGCATTTCCAAGATAAACAAGCTCTGTGGTCCTTCTTTTCCCAAACCAAGAGCACTCTGAAAGTAAATTAGAAGGAAATCCAGTGTAAACACCACTTTCTGAATCATCGTTTGTGTATCATCTTCCATACTGCGCCCGCTCAGGAACGCGAACCTGTATCCAAACATCTTTGTAAGATTTCCGCTGTTATTTTACTTTGATAATTTTAAACAGGTTTAAAATGATAGCAAAGCATTTTACCTAGATTTTGATGAACTGTTACTATTTTGTGTGTGTGTGTGTGTGTGTGTGTGTGTGTGTGTGAAAGATGGTAACAAACATTAAGGTTAAACAATCCAGAGAATGACCGGTTGCTTTAAAAAATGTCCTTTCTTTTCTCAATTTAAAATAAAAATACCAAGGGAGGGAAAAGCTATTATGACAATTGGCTGAGTTGTACGAAATGAAAACACTGGCTAAGGGGCAGCGCCATGGGCAGTCCCCGCAGTGGGTGTTCTGATGTCGCCGTGACCCCGCGGGGCCGGTGGAGGGAGCGGAGCGAGGCTCCGCGGAGAGCGCTCGGGGCAGGACGCAACCCCCGGCCCGACCCGTGGGGCAGAGCCGAGAGAGCCCGAGGAGAGAGCGGCAGAGAAACTCACTTAGGAGCAGGCACTTTCGGCTGGAAAGCATTCGTACGTGCCTCGCGACACCGCACATGGTACCTTCCGCGGCCTGTGGCGTCTACACC